CTCTGATGAACTTCAGTGCGATTAAGACTTGTGGCAAGAGGGTTACCCACTCATACTGTGGACTATCAGCAGCAAGTCAAAACCTAAAAGTAACTTTAGACTCTTTTCTTTTGATGTACACTCTAAATTTTCCCGTAAACACCCCCACTGAGAGTGGCTCCCTATAAACTTTTCTTTTTCTTGAAACAAGGCTGAAATAAAACTACCATGAACGTTCATATCCAGTTTGAAAAGTTTTTGTTAATGACTCTTTTCTTAAAAAAAGAAATCATTATGTCTCCAGTGTTCAGATATAAGTACAGCAGAAACAAATGGGACCTTCCTGTGATGTTTCTGAGGGCTGGGGCAGAAGAGCTCAGTGGCACAGCAAAAGCTTAGCATGCTTCAGATCCTGGGTTCAATCCCCAGCACAGGAAGAGAAAAAATAAGAAAAACTGAATTGCTATGCTATACTGTTATGCTCCAAAGGAACTTTGTTTAATACTTGTTTCAAATTAGAAAACAGAATTTAACTTTAAAAGTTCAAATAAAGAGGTTAAAACCAAGCATATGATCTTGATTTGTATTTCCAGTTGCTATAGAAATTTTGAGATATTCTGTGTAAGCCACCCTCTCCACCAAAATTATTATGTTAATCACAGATATATTAAACTTTTAGTGCCCAAGATTCCAATGAAGAAACTATATCAAAAGAAGTGAAGATTTTTAAACTCATGAATTCATTGTCGATTATGTGAAACAAAGTAACACTTTCGTAATTTGACTGAAAAGTGATAAAATTAAGTGCTGGAGTGTTAAATCTAGATTTTCCAACAAATAAATTTGAGTAAATCACTTTTCTATGTATCAACCACTGTCAAATAAAAATAAGAGTAATTTAGCGTTTGAATAAAAATGAACTGGGTTCAAGTTCCTGTTGAGATGCTTCACAGGGTTTTAGCCAAGCCCCTTGTAATTATGAGAAGAAATATTTTGGGGTTATTGTGAGAACTAAATACTGTTTCCAACATGCCCATAGAAAGAGTACAACATAGAGATGTTAATTACTTAAAGACTGGTTAACTATTTCTTTAAATGTCTTTTCACTGTAGTTTACTTTTTCATTAGCATATATTACCTTTTCTTATGAAAAAGACATGAAATTTGTCAGTGTAAAGAGCTCCTCTAAAGCAGTAAGTCATCTTGATAATTTCAACTTCAGGAAAACCCAGTTTTATTTCAGGCAGTCTTGATTCCCTAGGGTACACGAGTGTGTGTGTGTGTGTGTGTGTGTGTGTGTGTGTGGTTGCAATCTGTGATTTAAAGGAGGAAAAAGGTCAGTGTTAAAGCTACTCAAGTATTTAGCACTGAATAACTGAATTCAAAGATTCTGGGAAAAAAAGCAAAAATAAGGGAAGTTCAGTTCTAAGCTGCTTGGCTTCTTGACAGTTGTAGCTACAAAAGGCAATTTTTTGGGCAAAAATTATTTTCTTGGGCTTTTTTCACTCCTTAAGAAAGAATCTCAGGGGCTTAAATCAAAATGGTGCGCTGCTTGGCTGCATGGAGAGCCAGGGTCCAGCCGCCCTACAGCTGATGGTAGAAGTGGGCACGGTCTAGCTGGTTGTGCTCGGTCTTCCTGGCTCCCCATCCTCTGCCCCTCACCAAACACACAGGCGCGCGCACACCACACCCGCACACACACACCATACACGTAGACACCACGCACGCATACCACACACGCACACAAACCATAGACATATATACACCACTCACGCACACACACCACACGCACACACACCACACACACCACACACACTACATCCGCATACACACCATACACACACCACACACATACACACCATTCACGCACACACACCACATACACACACCACTCACGCACACATACCACACACGCACACACACATACACACACCACACAAATACACACACACCACGCACGCACTTGTACTACACACACGCACACACATCATATACATACACCACTCACACACACCACACACGCACACACCACGCACGCACTTGTACTACATACACGTGCACGCCACACACACACCACACACGCACACACACCACACACATATACGCACACATGCTACACACAGACACACACCACGCACATTCCGCACACATACAGGCCCACCACGCACAGCACACACCACACACATACACAGTACACACATGCGCGCGCGCACACGCCCTGTACTCCTAAGATTCCCAGGAGTCAGGAGGCGGGAGAGTGGGGTCTCACCACACATCCTGACATCGTGCTGCTCTGCCCGAGAAGAAACACACAGAACGAGAGTAAAGAAGGAAATGAAAGAGGGAGAGAAAAGGGGGATGGAGGAAAGCAGAAAAGGAAACGGGGAAGAAAAGAAAGAGGGGCGGAGAGAGTAATTCTGGTAACGGAGGAAAGCGGCCCGGACGCAGGAGGACGGACGGCAGCGGCGGGAGGGTGAGCGCGCCGGGCCGTCGCGGCGCACGCGGGAGACGCGGAGCCTC